CCAGCATCTGAGTTCTAGTCTCAGGACCAGCACACACACAAAAATGATTAAATATCAACTTATTCATGTTACTAATTCATTTGTTCATTTGATGGATATATATCAAGAACGAGGTTTAATTCAGGATATATAATAAATGTAATACATAATTGCTTGTTATCTGAATGATAATATGGCTGTTAAATTTCTATGTATGGTAAAATGACCATATGAAGCCAACTTGGTCTTATTTCTCTTAAGTTTTTATTAAATTAATTGTATATATTAATGGAGTTTAGTTCAAACACATCCATATAGTGTACACTGATTACATCTGGATTCCCTTATCCCCTCCCCCTGGCCTTGCTAAACCGTAATCCCTATTTTATATTCTATATTCAGGTCAATCTTTAAAAAAATTATTTATTTTTTATCGGTCATGGAGCTTGAAGTCAGGGCCTGGGCACTGTCCCTAAGCTCTTCCATCTGAGGCTAGCACTCTTGACTCATAGCTCCATTTCCAGTTTTCTGGTGGTTAATTGGACAGAAGAGTCCCACGGACTTTCCTGCACCTGCTGGCTTCAAACCATGATCTTCAGATCTCAGCATCCTAAGTAGCTAGGATTCCACCTGGCAACACCCAGCTTCAGGTCAATTTTTATAAGACAGAACATATAGTACTTGTCTTTCAGTGTCTGCTTCTTTTACTTAATCTAGATTCATATATTTTGGTGCAAATGACAGGATGTCATTCTTTCTAGGTAGAGAGAGAGAGAGAGAGAGAGAGAGAGAGAGAGAGAGAGTGTGTGTGTGTGTGTACATGCACGTACACACATCTTTCACTCACATCTTTGTGTGTGTGTGTGTGTGTGTGTGTGTGTGTGTACATGCACGTACACACATCTTTCACTCACATCTTTTGATTCAATAATTCCACTTCTGGTATTATAGATACTCAAGGAAATATTTCCTAATGAAGTTTTTATTTTATATGTAAAGATGCTACCTGAAATTTTTTAATTAAAAAAATGAGTTCAAAGTCTTTTGCCATATTCTTCGTAAGTCTACAAACCAACCTGCTTTTTGTTTTTTGCCAGTCCTGGGGCTTGAACTCGGGATCTGGGTGTTATCCCTGAGCGTTTTTTGCTCAAGGCTAACGCTCTACCACTTGAGCCACAGCTCCACTTCTGCCAGCCTGCCCTCCCCCCCTTCCTTCCTTTCTTCCTTCCTTCCTATTATTTATTGAAGATAATAGTCTCATGGACTTTCCTGTCCAGGCTGGCTTCAAACCACAATCCTCAGATCTCAGCCTCCTAAGTAGCTAGGATTACAGGTGTGAGCCACCAGCACCCAGCAACCTCTGTTTTTAAGCCATACTTCCTTGCTGTTGTTTTTAGATAGGGTTGATTTGGTATCTCAACTATGGTTTGCACAGTTCAGTAACTGTATTGATAGTACTATATCTTTAACATCTGCTTTTTGTAGTCTATATTATGACAACTTTGAGGCCAAAAAAACTAATTTATGGTTACATCAGTATCCTTAGTACATAACAGAACTAAATTTTGTAGAAACTAAGAAATTGGGCTGGGAATATGGCTTAGTGGTAGAGTGCTTGCCCAGCATGCATGAAGCCCTGGGCTCTATTCCTCAGATCCACATAAACAGAAAATAGGCTGGAAGTGGCTCTGTGGCTCAAGTAGTAGAGTGCTAGCCTTGAGCAAAAGTAGCACAGGGACAGTACCCAGGCCCTGAGTTCAAGCCCCAGGACTACCAAAAAAAAAAAACAAACCTAAAAACAATAAGTAATTACATAGCAGTCACACTTTCCACACTTGAGTGGGTATGTTGTCCACAGAGGATAATCAAATTCTCTGAGGTTTATCAAATGGGCAGCAATTGCAAATATAAGAAGGTATAAGAAACACAATACTAGCTTAAGGAACAGAAGGTTTCATATTAGAGGTTAGGTCTAGTACCACAACAAAGTTTTTATGAAGTAACTACTAACAATGACAGAAGACTATGGTGACATCTAACAGAATATACAGACAGGAACATGGACTCTGAAGAGATACAGACCTAGTATTGGAGTCTTAACTCTACCTTAATCTCATTCAGAAAATAAAGGCAATAATGTTAAAAACTCCCTTACAATGATGTGATGAAAATTAACAAGATGACGCATCTACATGTATGGAAGATGCTGTGCTTTGTGCAATCGTTAAAACAACAGTGATCGGAATAACACAGTAATGACAGCAGCAGCAGCAGCAGCAGCAGCAGCAGCTAGTACTAATAAAGTATTTACAATGGGCCCAGGTTCCCGTTCTAAATGCAGTGTAAGTATTAAGTTACTTAACACTTAGAAGAAGAAAGTTTGAGTAAAATGAGGTTAATGGACAATGACTTTGAATAAAGTTTCCCACTTCTCTGAACAATAGGTTTCTCATATCTAGTTGATGTGAGACTACCATTAGTATAGAGATAACTTAAAAATTACCTAAAATATATACATTAAATACTTAAAGCAGTGCCTGATAGCCAGTAGGCACTGTGGTAACTATTTTTCTTACTATTTCTATTAAAATTATTATTATATCTTAGGGTTAAAGACATCATTCGGTGGCCATGGTGAATAGTTTAGAAAAAGGAGATACTTCTCTCTTCTTCAGTTCCTTTCACCACTTAAAAAATTGGTAATTATCCTATATTTTAAATGTTTTCTAAACATGCATTACACATGAATGAAAAAAACAGAGTATTATAAAGATGAAACTTTACACTAGTTTTAAAGATTTAGCTTTTTCCTTCCCCCTAGGAACAGCAGTGTTAAAAATACTGTATTTCCTTAAAGTAAATAGTGCTGAAAAGAATGAAAATGGCATATGGCTGAGGAAATATTCCAAAGACGCGATTCTGCGCAGCTAGTTCTTTTCTCTGCCTTTTAAGGTCACACTAACATGGTAGAAAATCTGGGACTCACACCATCTGTCCAGGCAGTTTTATCACTGCTCATTTCTCTTGTTAAATAGTCAGAACACTTCACACTTCCCAAACACTGCTACTATAAAGAGCAGTAGAAGCTGAATAAAAGACACTTTCTCTATTCAGCAATGTCATGATTGGAAATGAACAGTTTTTTTGGTTTGTGCCTTGAAGATCATGAGTGAGAAGGAATATTCATCATTTAGAAGGAAAATTAAGAATAAAAAAAGCTAGTATTAGCTTTGGAAATCTGTTGTCATAAAGCAAAACAATAAAGTTCAAAGAACACGCCCTGGGAACAATGACCCTTTGGAGATAATTTATGACTTTTTGAGAAAAAGGTTTGGACAACTCTCAACCTTCCAGAATAAATTTAGTTTTATGCAGACTCCTTGCCTTCAGGTAAAGTTTTAGAGATCCTACTAGGATAGGTCAATGAACTCACAAGAAACCAGTATGAGTATGTAATTCCTCTTCTGTGCTTATAAAATACTCTCAATTTATGCTCGACAGCTCAAATTTATACCACTGGTCCCATGACTACAATAATGGCAATAATGACAGTAATCACATATTAATACATATGCTAATAATATTAAATAACAATGATAACTTTTTACATGTTGCTAACTCACTAAGTGCTAGGCATCATGCTAAGTGCTTTAAACTCTCAGATTTATTAGGGCACTGTATCAAATTGTGGCTAAAAAATAGGACCTCGAGATTAGATTGCTGTCTGATTCTTTCCCTTACATTATGTGTGATCTTGCACAACTTTTTTTTCCTTTTTAAAGTACTGGGATTTGAACTCTGGGTACAGTTCATGAGACATATATAACTCTGGCTCCCAAATAGTAAGTTCTTAGTGCCTCACAGAATACTTTCTAGTCAGACACTAATGGCTCAAGCTTGTAATAGTAGCTACTCAGGAGGCTTGAGATCTGGAGATCTGTGGCTTGAAGCTTCCTGGCAGAAAAATCCGCAAGACTACATCTCCAAAATACACAACAAAGAGCCAAGCCATAGGCTCAAGTGGAAGAGTGATAGCCAAGCAAGATGAACAAGAATAAAGCCCTGAGTTCATGCATCAGTACTTGTTTAAAAAAGTAGTATTTACTTTCTAAGGATGTTATAATGATGTAAAATGTTTATAATAATACCTAAATTTAATATACAAGGCAATTAATATTCAGAAAAGTAAAGGCCACACAGCAGTTAGGGTGGAAATGATGTTTCCCAGGTAGGTCTGACTCCAAACCTCATGTTCTTTGGATTTCCATTCTCATTCTCACTCTTGGAAGTGAAGATAAGTCAACTACATCATCTAGAACATTATACTTGTGATCTCTCTCATCTTTTCCTATGTAAGTGTGTGAAACTCTTACATAGGGCAACACTAATTTTTTTTAGATGTTAATAATATCAATCTAACATATTACATATCATCAATTCTGAGGCACTTCTGTGAGTCATGTGTCTTATAAATGGCCAGTTTTCCTTTCTAAGTAGCACATAAAATAATAGTGCATCTTACATTAATAAACATGGTAGTTGTTAAGCCTATGTGTTCTTTAAGGATTATAATTTAGTCTACATTAAAGGCACTTTCTAAAGCTTGCCCAGCACTAATGGACACAGTTCCATTCAATTCCTATTTTTTAATTTAAACTTCACTTCATCTTGACTATCTCCTTACTATTCTTTCCCCATTCTTCATGATTACCAAATTCCTATGGCTATGACAAATTGATTTTCTGGTTTAGGCTCCGGTTTGATTTTTACGTCCCTAGCTTTGATGTTTTCTTTCTGATGACTCAAGGGCCTTGATCATAATGACTGCTTTGACTGACAAACATATTGATACTCCCTCCTCACAGACTGTCCTCATAGGCAGTTCTCACTTTTAGACTCTATGGCAAGCTGAGAAAGTATTATGAGCCTAGACATGTAATTTTTTTCCCTTTCAGATGCTTATTTCTATTCCTGAAATTTTCTCTATAATACTGGTTAGTAAGTACTTATCTGATACATACTTAAACTTTTTTCCTGATTTAGCCTGAGTGCCTCCATTCCACATATGGTCTATCTCTTCATAGAAGAAAAAAATGTCAAGTTTTATATCATCTTTTCCCTGGAAAGATAGTTCCAAGCTGTCTTCCACCTAGAAAGAAGAAAAAATTCTAGCAATTCAAACAATAAACATCTTTAAAAAATTAAAAAAAGAAAACATTCTAACATTCTAATGTTTTATATATATACAGAATATTAATTCTAAGATTTATGCTTTTTCAAGTTGAAGTGCTGAACATGGGGTTCATCTGTAGAAAGCCACCAATTTTTCTTAAATAATGTTTCTTTGAGCTCTAAATATATTTTTGAAAAATATCTCATTCTGTGGGCTTCCTATTTATTTTATTACTTATGTCCTTTGTCATGCAGAAACTCTTCCGTTTGATGCAATCCCATTTATCCAGTCTTTCTTTGATTTGTTGTAATTCTAGATCTTAGGAAGTTTTGACTCATGCCTAGGAGCACTAGTGTTTCCCCTACCCCTTCCCATAATATTTTTTATGATATTTAGCCTTACAGAGAGGTCTTAAATCCATTTTGAATGGATTCTTGTGCAAGGTTATATATATAAGGATTTAGCTTCAGTTTTCTGTATGTGATCAGCCAATTTTGCCAGCACCATTTGTTAAGAGGTTGTCTTTCTTCCAACCTGTGTTTTTGGCTCCCTTAGTGAATATTAGGTGGCTATAGGTCTGTGGGTTCATTTCTGGTTCTTCTATTCTGTTCCATTGGTCCTCAGTCCTATTCTTAAGCCAATACAATCCTGTTCTTATTACTATGGCTTTGTAATAGAGCTTACAGTTTGGTATTGATATTTCTCCAACACTATTCTTCCTGCTAAGGACTGTTTTTGCTCTTTGGGGTCTTTTATTATTCCATATGAATTTTTGGAATTTGTTTTTTTTTTTTTGGGTCCGGTCGTGGGGCCTGAACTCTGGGCCTGGGCGCTGTCTCTCAGCTCTTCAGCTCAAGGCTAGCACTCTACCACTTGAGCCACAGCGCCACTTCCAGCGTTTTTTTGTTTTTGCTTATATGGTGCTGGGGAATCGAACCCAGGGCCTCATGCATGTAAGGCAAGCGCTCTACCACTGAGCCACATTCCCAGCCCCTGGAATTTTTTTCTAAATTAATTTTTGCTTTTACTTTTTCATTGAAGAATATTATTGGGATTTTGATGGGTACTGTATTGAATGTGTAAAATGCCTTGGGCAGTACTGCCATTTTCACAATGTTAATTCTTCCAATACAGGAGCATGAAAGGTTTTTCCATTTCCTTAAATCTGTTTCAATTTCTTTTTTCAGATTTTTAAAGTTTTCACAGTAGAGGACCCTCACATCTTTGGTTAATTCCTAGGTATTTTATTGGGGGGGGGGAAAGGGCAGGCTATTACAAATGGATTGCTTTTCTGATTTCAGTCTTGCTCTTCTAATTGTTGGCATACAGAAAAGCTACTGATTTTGTCAAAGTTTTGGATCAGCTTAGGTAACTTGTGGGAAGAATCTATAGGGTGCTTTACATATAGGATTATGTAAACTGCAAATAGGATAGTTTTACTTCTTCTTTCCCTATTTGGAGCTCTTTTATGTTTTTCTCTTGCTTTATTGCTCTTAATAAAAATGGTACATACACACACAATGGAATTCTATTCATCCATCAGAATGAATGACATTGTACCATTCATAAAGAAATAGGAAGACTTGGAAAAATTTAAGAGAAGTAAGCCAGACCCAAAGAAACAGGTGGCATGGTTTCCCTTATGTGTGGTAACTAGAATGTGCCTAAAAATCTACAAGTAAACACACTGGATGGCAAGAGAAAAAAAATACATTGGAACTTGATACATTACACAAGTTTCTAGGGAGGCATAAGACCAAAGGAGGATATTCTTAGGAAAGGATCACAAAGGCACAATACCTAGGTGCATCTGATTATATAAAATGAACTCCAGAAAATGGAAACAAGAGGGCTTTTTCCATTGTTGCTGTTTTGTTTTCTTTTCCTTTTTTCTAGTTTATGTATCTGTCTTTGGAAAGGTAATAGGGAGCACAGAAATAGCGGGCCAAGGGTGCACAAATGCAGCAGTGATACTCATAAGACACTATATGTTGAAAATGAATTATACAACTTGTGGGTAGAGACAGGAAAGAAAAACTGGGAGAGAGTGAGGGAAGGGGTGATACTGTTCAAAAAGAAATGTACTCCTTATCTGACTTAGTAACTACAACCCCTCTGTACATCACCTTTACAACAACAACAAATAAATAAGTAAAAAAAATCATATAATACAAATAATAAGCTCTAGAAAAGAAAAAATGTGTTTTACAATTGATGACAACTCAGAACAAATGATTTAAGGACATCCAAACAGCACTCTGCAGAGAAAACAGAAACACTCTGTTCCATAGTATCTTTCTGACTAAAGAAAAAAACCAAACAAAATTAACTCCCTTTAAGAGCCAGACAGCTGGGCGCCAGTGGCTCACGCCTATAATCCTAGCTACTCAGGAGGCTGAGATCTAAGTATCGCCTGGGCAGGAAAGTCCGTGAGGTTCTTATCTCCAATAAACCACTAGAAAACCAGAAGTGGCGCTGTTTCTCAAGTGGTAGAGCGCTTGCCTTGAGCTGAAGAGCTGAGGGACAGCGCCTAAGCCCAGAGTTCAAGCCCCATGACAGACAAAAATAAAAAAATAAAAGAGCCAGGTGCCAGTGGCTCACACTTGTAATCCTAGCTACTCAGGAGGCTGAGATCTGAGGATCACAGTTCAAAGCCAGCCGGAGCAGGAAAGTCTGTGAGACTCTTATCTCCAATTAACCACTAGAGGGCTGTTGTGTTTTTTTGTTTTGTTTTGTTTTTTTGAACTCTGGGCCTGGGCACTGTCCCTCAGCTCTTCAGCTGTAGACTAGTGCTCTACCACTTGAGCCTCAGCCCCACAAAACCACTAGAAAACTGAAAGTGGCACTGTGGCTCAAGTGGTAGAGTGCTCCCCTTGAGCTGAAGAACTGAGAGGATAGCGCCCAAGCCCAGGGTTCAAGCCCCACGGCCAACAAAAAAAACAAAAACAAAACTCACCACACAAAAAATTCCCTTGAAGAACCTCCCAAAATCGTTCAGGAAGTCATCATAATCAATCAATAAGTAAAGTGAAATTAAACATAAGAAATACATAGCACAGATCATTATCTTATATACATGAAAAAAAAAGAAATACAAAATTAAGGTACAGAAAAAAATGAGAGCATTTGCCTAACAAAAATCCAACTAAAAACATTTCCAATGTACTTAGTGTGTCTGCTTGTTCCAGCACAAATCACATAATAATTTAGGTGAATTTTTTTCCCTCCTATTTATTTGGGATGGAAAATTTATAATTTATTTATCCTTGTGCTTCATATACAGAGTACAGTGCCCAGATACGCAGAGAATATTAGCTGAATAGACTGAAAGCTTTGCTTTGACTTTCATCATTTTTAGTTAACTACAATGATTATTTATGATTGAAGAAATAAGTTCTCAGGGACTAAACATAGTCTTCCTTGCATTACTGAATAATACCTCTTTGGGAACAAGCAAATTAAGAGCAAGATGATTACAAGCAATCACAGGCTTAGGAAATATGAATACAAATGTTCACAGAGCAAGATTTCTTCTAGGTCTTAATGACCTATGCCTAGCTGATCTTTGAGAAAACTTCTATAGTTTAGGATAAGTTAGAAACAAGGTATTGACATATTTGTTTAAAATGATTTTATACTTCTAAAATGATTTTGTATTTCTACCCCTTAGCAATTTTGTGCTGACAATTATAACATCTACTCTTGAGTGAACAGAATTAAATGACTATTAGAACAAATATAGCTTCAGATAGGGTGGGGGGGGGTCTTACATTCCACATTAATTTTACATATTATTTCCTATAATGGCAATAAATTTGCTTACAAGAGACTAAGATCCTTCTTTCTCACCTTCAATAAAAACCCAATTTTGTTTAGCTTTTCCTTAAATAGTACAGAAATTATAAAGAGTAATAAATTTCTGCTAAAACCAGCCTAGTCAATATTGAGTGATGTATGCAGTAGGGTCTTTTTATGACTGTTGCTAAGGTTTTTTTGTTGTTGTTATTTGTTTTTGAGGCACCATCCTACGTGCAAGCCTAGGTAGCCTAGAACGTGCAACATGGTGCAAGCTGTCTTCAGCTTGGAATCCTCTTGTCTCAGATTCCCTGGGGCTGGGATTACAGGCATGTACCATCACATCTTTCCTGTAGCATTCTTAATTATATCTGAGTAATGTAAACGTTACACTGGAGACAAGAATTATAAATTAAGCTGATTCTTGTTACTGACCTTCCCAAACTTGTGTTTGAGTGCAAGTCCTGCATCCTGAAATGCTACAACAATATCAGATTTGTAATCTTGTATAAAAACACCTATGTCGACATCTTTGCTATAAGGAATAATATTGCACTGTCGATACCATCCTAAAAAAAGACATAAAATTAAAAATTAAAAACTCATAATGGATAATCTTTTAACAATAGATTTTATTTCACAGAATTAGATGTAAGGTGCATCACCAAAATTATTTTTTTTATTCAAATAGCAAATTAAATGTTTTGATTATAGCAGTCACATCTTTAAGGGGTCTGGTCGTGGGGCCTGAACTCTGGCTGGGCCTGGGCGCTGTCCCTCAGCTCTTCAGCTCAAGGCTAGCACACTACCACTTGAGCCATAGCACCACTTCTGGCTTTTTTTTTTTCTGCTTATGTGGTGCTGAGGAATTGAACCCAGGGCATCATGCATGCAAGGCAAGCACTCTACCACTGAGACACCTTCCCAGCCCCCCTACCTGATATTTTTGAGATTTTTTTTTTTTTTTTGGTGGGGGGGTCCGGTCGTGGGGCCTGAACTCTGGGCCTTGGCACTGTCCCTCAGCTCTTCATCTCAAGGCTAGCACTCTACCACTTGAGTCACAGCGCCACTTCCGGGTTTTTTCTTTTTGCTTATGTGGTGCTGAGGAATTGAACCCAGGGCCTCATGCGTGCATTTTTTATGTGTGTGTGTGCCAGTTCTAGGGATTGAACTCAGGGGCCTATCCCTTAACGTTTTTGCCCAAGCCTGGAGCTCTGGAGCTCAAGTAGAGCTACAGCTCTACTTTAAAAAAAAAAAAATATATATATATATATATTTTTTTTTTATTGTAAAGATACTATGGGGGGGTTATAGTTACATGAGTAAGGCAATGAGTACATTTCCTATGGAGTATTGTTATCTCCTCCTTTGTTTTTCCCCTACTAGCCCTTCCCTTCCCACCCCTACCCTCCCCCAAAGTTGTGAAGTTCATTTGTTTTCAACCTAGTGTCTTGTTCATCCCATTGTTACAATGGGTCAACCTGTATCCTTATTTCAGAATTTTGTTATTTCCCTTCCCCTCCCCAAATTAGAAAAATGTATAAACATGATGCAGGCACCAGAATCAAATACAGTGACAAAAGGGGTTATACCATACAGGGAAAAACATACAAAAGAAACAAAAAAAATCACATACTACTATTAAAAACAAAAGCAACAAAGAAAAGACCTCTTATGTCCATATCTTGGGGTTCATTTTGCTTAGCATCCTCTTATGTGGTCTTATGTACATAGCTTTTGACATTTTCTGCTTGTCTGGTAAGATTATTCTAGATGTATCCTAGCTATTGGAAATAAGGGAAACCATGGGACCTATGTTTCTTTGGGTTTGGCTTACTTCACTTAAGTCTTACCATTTCCTAACAAATAGGGCAGTGTCATTCTTTCTGATGGAGACATAGAATTCCATTGTTTGTGTGTATGTATGTGTATATATATATATGCCACATTTTCTTGATCTATTCATCTACTGAGGAGCATCTGGGTTGGTTTTATATCTTAGCTATGGATAGCATAGCAGTCTTCACTGCCTGGACTTGGCTTCAAACCGTAATCCTCAGATCTCAGTCTCTGGAGCAGTTAGTGATTTCTGACTTTTTTTTTTTTTTACTGAGCTAAGCATTTTACTTTCTTTAAACTTTCATGATACATTTTAATTTCTTAAAAATTATTTGCTTTAATAAAAATATTAACTGGGTCATCCATTTTAAAAAGTTGCTGTTCAAATGTTTAATCATTAACATTTAGTAATAGGGTATTTGTTAAATGTGCTAAAACATTTAATTATGTAACTTATTTTTTCTGAATCAATAATTGATAGAACTTTACAGATCTGAACAGCTCACATCCAATGGATTATATAAAAAAGATTTTGGATTATATAAAAAAGATTTGAGTCAGATGACAGTGGCTCATGCCTGTAATCCTAGCTACTCAGGAGGTTGAGATCTGAGGACAGCAATTTAAAGCCAACCTAGGCAGGAAAAGTTCATGAGACTCATATCCATATAACCACCAAGAATCAAGAAGTGGAGCTCTGGTTCAATGGTAGAGCATTTACCTTAAGCACAAAAGCTCTGGGACAGTATCCAAATTGCAGGGGGGGGGCGGAGGGGGGAGAAGAGGAGATTTGATTTACTATTTATCTACTTCTTGATCAGGTACTACAGAATCATTCTAAAGAAATTTTTACCCTAATGTTACTAAGGATTATTGAAATAAATTAACATCTGTAATTATCCTAATAGGCACTGCTATAAGGAACTATTAGAGTTCTAAAATAATTTTATAAAATAATTATAAATAACTAAAAGTGGAAGACTCCTTATTTAATGCAGTAACATCTAATAACTCTCTCTGTTCATAAATATATTTACATGAACTAAAACATGAGATTAAAAAACTCGAAATAATTCATGAAAATTATTTAAAGTATTTTTGATGATATACTATAAACAACCCTGACTCTAAGACAGTTAAATCTTAAAGCAAATAATATACAAGTGTGTGAGGTAAGTTCCTTTTGGGGCTTACTGTAGTGGAGCTTACTAAGAGAGATTATCACATAATCTTCCATAACCTGCTACCTGGGATAACTACAGGTCCCAGTTTATGCTTGCTGTACCAACTCAACTATTAAGAGCATTTTCTTTCACTCTTAATAATATTCTGAACTAGACAATAAATTATAGGATGTAACTCTTTAGAAAAGCTGACCTTACTATTGTATAAATAGAGTGAAACAGCAAAAACTACAATGATCATCGAGGGAACAAACTGAAACAGAACTAAATTTAAGATTCTAAATAATTCTAAATTCCAAGTAAGTTTCATCTAGTTAATGAACAATGGATGGAGGTTCATAAATCCTCATATTCTCCAAGCTACTTGCTTAAGGACTATCAAAATGTTTTTCTTTCCCATCTCCCGTGAACACTGATGCCCAGTCAGTGATACTATCAGTGAATTGGAAAAGGTTTGTGGAAGCCCCCATGATTCATCTTTGAGTCTTCCTTTCAGAATTTTTGGTGTAGCACAAGTTGGTTGTGTAGTGTACAAGTGAAACAGAGTTATGATGAAGCCCATTAGAAATGTATAAAAATGTAAAAAATACAACTTTTAAAAAGGTAATAATGGAAATAATAAAATGATAATTTAAAGATTATCTGAGAATTAGTTGATGTTCTGTTTTATACACATTATTTGTAGTTCTGGGTAATCACAAACATCACCATTCTAAGAGTCTACTTTATATGTATGCAGTTCATTTCTCTGAAGAAATCAATACATTCTTGCTTCATTTATAAATGTTTATTTTATATATAGAACTTATGCTTCTAATATCATTAATGTTTTGTTACTGCAATCATTCATTCCTAAAGCTGAAAGGATGAAATGACAAGTCAATGTAAAGCACTAAGAATTTTACCTAGACAAGTTCCACTGCTCAGCCAAAATGGAACTCCCAATTTCTTTAAAGTTTTGGCTGCTAGCTGAAGTAACTCCTTTGCACTCTTCCGAAAGGACATGGCTTCCACAGTGTTATCATCAAGGTACTGCTGCAGATTTAATAAACAGTAAGCTATTATAGCAATTTCTTAACCACTAGACATATTCATGTGACATCTTAATTAACTTGAAAAAAAAAACGCCACATATCTTTTTTTCTGCTTGTCAGTCACATTAAAATAAAAGTAGATTTTTAGGAGGTGGACAACAGCAACTCATAACTATAATCCTACCCAATAAGATCTGAGAATATGGTTCAGAGCCAGCACAGGCAGACAAATTCATAAGACACTTTTCTCTCCAATTCACCAGCAAAGAGGAGTAAATGGAAGAGTGGTTCAAGTAATAGGGCATCAGCTAGGAGTGAAAAAGCTAAAGAAGACTGTGAAGCCCTGAATTCAGGCCCCAGTTGGCACACAAGCATGTGGGCACACTGCTTGCACACACACACACACACACACACACACACACACACACTTCTTTAAAAAATAGATTCTGGGAAAGATCAGCTGAAAAAAAAGGAATATGACAGGATTCCTGACAAAAGAAACTTAAACTTTTATAAACCTCCTCTTCCATATTACGGTTTAGCAGGTTGGGCAGTTACAGGAAAAGAAGGCTAATTACAGAGCTATAAGCATGGCTGAAATAAAACAAATCTTTTCATCACACATTGATGCTATCAGTCTTTACAGACTGTGTAGTACAGTAAAAAAAAAAAGCTGAGGTTTTGATTTTGATTGCCTACGTTCAAATTTAGATCTAGTCACCATCCTAGGTACATCCCACTACTTAAGCTCTATAAAACAAGTGACTTAGCTTTACTTATCAGACGGCTCTAGTGCCTGGAACGGTACTTCAATATTTGTTAAATGTATAAGTGAATGAAAGAATATATCTCTTGCAGATCTCCATCTTCTCATCTGTAAATTTAGAATAACAACTCTTTGCTGGACTACAAGAGTTAAGCCGTGCCAAGTATAATGTTTCATACAAATATTATTTCCCAGTCATCTTGCTTTTGTTTTCATTTTTATTCTGAAACTGAGAAAGACTGAATAAAATTCTTCAGTGATGCTTTACTATCTATAAGACAAGAATTCTAGTTCCTAAATCACAGTGTCTTCCAACATAAAAGGTACCTACTCTTTGTAAGATAAGAAAACTAAAGCTCAAAATTTTCCCAAAGCTTCAGAGAATGAATTAGGGGACGGAAAACAAGAATGTAAATGTCTAGAGAGTCCTTCGCCAAGTGTCCAGATGTTTCCATATTTTCTTCTGGCTTTTCACTGGAATTCAATGAACTGAAGCTCATTTATTTTTGTGAATTTTTTTTCTGAAACAAAAATTCAGAAAAATGTGTAGTCTTCTGATTTGAACTTCTTGGTTGCAGTTCTGACCAAGTGCAGACAAAATAAATAATCATTATTTAAAAAAGAAATTTCAAAAACAAAATTTAAATTCCCACCTGTGCATTACCTAGCTAGTACTGAACTCTATGAATTGGAACATTCAGTTTTTCCTCAGTGGTGGTATCCTAAGAAGCAGTACCAAAGGTGTAATGTAAAAGCAAATAGAAAGTCAGAATACACCTCTTTTCCTCCATCCTAAACTCTCAGTGTAAGAGCTGTTAGGTAGTGCATTGTAAGAAAGGCATGTAAGGGTGACCTGATAAATGAGGTCAGAGCACGGGCAGATGAGGAAGGCATGTACTTGGAAAGGGTGTCTAGAATAGGCAGCCTAGCCAAGCAGCAGGATGAGAGCCACCCTGATGTGGAAGGCCAAAGCCTGAATAGGGGATTTCTACTGACTAATATGGAATAATCTGAAGAACAAAATAAATATGGAAAATAGTAGACTACAACCCATCAGATAAAGCAGGAACCATGAATTTCCTAAAATATGATGAAGAAATGCTTATATAGAAATAAATTCATACCTGATACTTAGGCAGTACTAGATTTTATATGCAGGACCTCACACTCACTTGGTTTGCTTGTTTAGCTGGTTCTTTTCCACTGGAGCCACACCTTCAGCCATACTTTTTTGTACTAATGTATTCATTTCCTATGAATTATATTAATTTCCTAATTTTTGTATTAAGACATGAAAGAAAATGTTCTTGATTTTGGAAAATACTGAATTAGGGGACTGGGAAGGTGGCTCAGTGGTAGAGCGTTTGCCTTGCATACCTGAGGCTCTGGGTTCAATTCCTCAGAACCACATAAGCAAAAAGAAAAAAGAAAGCCGAAAGTGGGGCTGTGGCTCAAGTGGTAGAGCACTAGCTTTGAGTTGAAGAGCTGAGGGACAGTGCCCAGGCCCAGAGTTCAGGCCCCACGACTAGACCCCCCCCCAAAAAAAAACCACTGAATTATTTGAGGCTGTAGGATATCTGCTAGACAGCCTACTCCCAAGTGATTCTGGGGGAAAAATGCATTTGTATTATACTTAGGACTTAAGTCTGAAACTGTTTTTTATTGCTAGGTGTTAATTCTAGCACTCTGCAAGCTGCCGCAAGAGCATCATGATCTCAAGGCCAACCTGCCTGTACAGTGACTTCCAGGCCAGAATGAGCTGCATATTGAGTTCCTATCTCAGAAAACTCACTCTCATTAAAAACAAACAAGAAAAAACACAGAACACTTTTATCATGCTTATTAGTGCATTGCATTACACTAGGGATTGTATTTAAAATGTTTTGGCGCCATCAAGTGTTCAAATACATGTATATTCAGTTTAATTTGAAAACAGGCCCTCCCACCTGTTTTTTTTGGGGGGGGGCGAGGGACCTACCAATCTTGGGACTTGAACTCAGGGCCTGGGTCCTGTCCATTTCCCAATTTTGAGTGATTAACTAGAGGTAAGAGTCTCACAGAGTTTCCACCACCGGTGCCCAGCCTTCCTAGCTTTTTTTTTTTTTTTTTTTTGATGGTTGTGGGGCTTGAACTCTGGGCCTGGGCGCTGTCCCTCAGCTCTTCACTTGAGCAACGGTGCCACTTCTGGTTTTCTGGTGGTTTATAGGAGATAAGAGTCTCATGGACTCTCCAGCTGGCTTTGAACCTTGATCCTCAGATCTCAGCCTCCTGAGTAGCTAGGATTGCAGGCATGAGCCATTGAGCATTTTTGATCAAATAGTTCCAACATATGAAATGATAAAGAATTAAACATTAAGATAGTAAGGACAAAAAAGCATTATCAACTGTATTACTCACTTGATGCTAGTAATACCAATATACTAGAAATAGAGAAAAACAAATTAGGAATCTCATGCCTGGCTCAATGCCAGTGAAAGATACATAAAAACAAGATGGATGATTACAGAATTCTACCTGATCATGTTGTGAATATCAATCTCCACAGAACAATACAGTCTTGTTATTTCTGGTGCTTTTTGCACCCAAACTATGAGGCTATAAATGGATTAGCACTCTGAACATGTTTCGTGCATATTCTTTACTCAAACACTGATTAAGTGTTTGTCCTTAATATTAATATATTCTTAAGTGGTGATATTGAATACATTCTGTTCATAAAATGACATGTTGAATGGTAAACCTTTTGTACAACTACTCAAAGATAATGAAAATAGAATTTAAAAATATACATGTTCATTTTGAAGCATTTTACATGAATAATTCCTTTTCATAATAAGAACAACAAATGAATCTGGGGAAATGCTTGTTGAATAGCCCCAACCTTGCTAGGCTACAGTAGTTCTAGAAATCATTTGATTTTGAATACCTAATTCTTAATGAATTTACCCATATTTATGAGATCTTTTCTTTGTACCAGTTAGAGTGACAGAATGGTATAACAGAGGTAACATAAAATACGATGCCTGTCATCCACAACTGGCCATAACTGTTATGACAGAGGCAGCAAGCAGGGCAGAGCCCTTCAGGCAGTAAGAGTGAGGGGTTGATTTAAGCACCAAATGCCTCCTCTTGTTCCTGCTACAGTGTGGTGAGGAAATAGCAGGCAGCACTGCCCACTAGAGTAAGCCCATCCACACACTCATCTTCCAGTTCCTCATCCATGAGGTTCAGCAGACTTTACAGTACTCCAATCACAAGTTTGAAGAAACAGGGCCAAGAAGGCACACTTGGATTAGGTCTTGGGTGTCAGTAAAATGTGAGTCTTGGGCACTTGGTGTAAGTAATAAAGCTGGTACTTTATTTTGGAATTCCATTCCTGTCCTCATATGTGCAGTTTTTATGGCAGAGAGCCACAGATAATAAAGAGCAACTGAGATTAGGGTACCAAAACCTCACTGTCTATTTGTTTTCACTGCATCTGTTTCCTTGTCATTTTAAAGTTGAATTTTCATGCCCTTCAAAATCATTATTACATAACAAGACAAGCGCTCAATGGTCAGAAGCCTAGAAAAGTCATTCAATAAATGTTCATTGAATTGAAAGCTAGAATAGCAAAATAAAGTTCAAAAAGCACTTTGTCTTTGTATGACATTAGTCTTCAAAAACTTTCACAAATGCAAAAATTCAAATTCAGTACCAAACCTTTGAGAATTTTTTCCTAAGTGTTTCCAAAATCTACATGGCTCATTTTCTACATGGACTTTATTCTACTTAGATTGCTTTAAAGACAGAATTCAGTTTACTTTATAAAGATTACAAGCTATCATAACTGAAGGCAGAGACAACTGCTTACATTATCAAACTCTATTAAAAAATAATACCAATATATTCAATTAGGGAAGAAAATAGTTGATTTTTATTTTTAGTTTTTTGAGATAATGTCTTGCTATGTATGTAGCCCAGGCTGGCCTGGAATTCAATTTTCCTGCCTTCGTCTCCCAAATTCTGAGATTATAGGCATGTACCATTGCACTGGGTAGACTGGGCTTGAATTTAGGACCTTGCACCCAGCATGCACTCTGCCACTTGTACCACACCTTCAGGCTGTTTTGTTTTTACATTAATTTTTAGGTAAGAGTCTCATTATTTTGTTCTGGAGCCAGATTGGACCTACTAAGAGCATCCTGCATAGCTGGGGTCATACAGGTATGAGCCAATTAGTCTGAGTTGTTGGTTGAGATGGAGGTATTGCTAACTTTTGTGCTGGCTAGCTTTACACTCCTTCAGTCTCCCATCTATCTCCTCAAATATTGTATAACATTCTCTTTCATTTAAAAAGTATGTGATCTGGTTGTCTCTAACCTGAAAGAATGCTCGAGCTTCTTTATACCTACACTCAATAAACCTCGAGTGTGGTATTTCTTCTAGAAAGTGTCCTACATCTTTTGGAATGAGAACTTCCAGTCCATCAATAGTAACTTGCTGTAACTCTGGCCTGAAAGCAAAGGTTAAGATTTGTTACAGGACTTAATCCAGAAAAACAGCAGCCTGTTCAAATAAGTAAACTTTAACAAAATAGCTCAATATCAAATATATTTTCTTCTATTGTCTTTCAATTAGTAATTTCAACAAGACCTTGAAAATCTGACATCAAACAGAGAACATTTCAAGAATTTGGTTACTGTGTTTTAAAGTATTTTTATATTTGCTCATATACATTTAGTATTTTAAGCAGAAGGGACAGTTAAATGACTTAATTTTAAATGCTCATTTCTGGAGAAGCAAATACTTTTAACACTTAAGAAACACTGAATAAATTACAATAGCCCAAGAGTCTCATTAGCAAGCAAAATGCTTGGAATCTATTGTATAAATATTGACAATTTTTTAGACTTCTTTATATAAAATCATAAATTGCAGATATAGCTTTTATCTATCTAATGGCAAACATTATCCTTAAAAACCATTTGTTGGCTAACCATTTTGAATTGAATTATTAAACTTTGAAATAAATGGATAGGGCTTTAAAATGGATGTCCTTCTGAAAAAAAAACTTATTTGAAACAGAATAAGAAAAATATGCATAAAAGTGGTAAAAATAGAACAGTGCTTAAGATTTTAACTAAAATAATAAAAGGGACCAATATTAACAACACATTATTTTTCCACAGCCCCACCAGTTCTTTTCTGATCATTTATATTCCTGAAAACTGGGTTTGGTTTAGAAAAGGTGTGACTTCATATATACAAAAAACATAGACCATTCTAGTTTTCAATGCTTTATTGATTGATGGACTGATGATTTTGCCAGTATTTACTAGGGCTTGAACTCAGGGTCTTTTGCTGTCCTGTAGCTTTTTTTCCTCTAGCCAGGCACTGGTGGCTCACACCTGTAATGCTAGCTACTCAGGAGGCTGAGATCTGAGGATGGTTGTTCAAAGCCAGCTAGGGCAGGAAATTCTGTGAGGCTTTTATCTCCAAATTAACCACCAGAAAACCAGAAGTGGTGCTGTGACTCAAGTGGTAGAGCACTAGCCTTGAGCAAAATGGCTCAGGGACAGTGCCCAGGTCCCAAGTTCAAGCCCCAAGATGGAGCAAAACAACAACAACAACAACAACAAAGAGCTCTATTATTTGAGCCAGAGCTCTACTTTTAGCTTTTTGGTGGTTAACTGGAGATAAGAGTCTTATAGCGTTTTCTACCAGGGCTGGCTCGGAACCATGATCCTCAGCTCTGTTTTCTAAGTAGCTAGGATTACAGGCCTGGGCCATTGGCACCTTATTTGTTTCTTAGTTTTATAGCTCAAGGCTGTTTCTCTAACAATTGAGCCCTACCTTCACTTCTCGTTGCTTTTTTGTGTGTTTTGGATAGTAGTTAATTGGAGATAAGCATCCCACAGAATTCTTGCTGGGATTGGCTTGGGACCATAATCCTCAAATCTCAGCCTCTAGAGTAGGAAAGATTAGAGGTATTAAGCCAGTAATGCCTGGACTGACTACCTTTTTAAATTTGTTTCTCAAATATTAAATTTTTAAGTACTATAGGAAGGCAACAATAAGCACACTCCAGTAGTTCTAAAGTGCAATAGATGGACATGGTCTCTCTAGAAGTTGCCAAGAACCATAGCCAATATAGACACTTTTACAAGAATGGTAAACTGTAAGGCAAGAGTCAAACGTTTGCTGCTATCATTACATCAGACAGTGCTAATTCAAGTAGAATGTAACACCATTACAAATGGCTTCAAAAAGGGTTTAAGAAAAGTACAACTAGGTTAGAACGTTCTGACTCCATTTTCAATTTTTTTTTCAACTTGCACTTGTTAATATAAGTTGTAGCTAATTTTACAAAGTTCCTTCAAATAATTGCATTGTGCAAGAAATACTTTTACTATGTTGAGAGTTAAGGTTATAGTTTTACACATAGTTTATTTACCTATTTAAATTTCTTTTTCTTCTTGTGTTTCATTTTTCTGAGGCAGAATCTCACTGTTTCCCAGACTGACCTAGAACTTGCTATATAGTCCAGACTGGCTCTTAAATTCATAATCCTCCTGCCTTAACCTCTTGATTGCAATTACAAGCATGAGTCACAATGCCCAAACATTTTGTGTGTATGTCTGTGTTGTGTAAGTGCACAAAATACAAAGGTACAAAATACTGTGTTACAAACACCCATATCTCTACCACAGAAATTGAATCTTGTCAGCCTCTTCACAGTTCTCTGTGTATATAGCTCATCCCTCATCCTCTTAGAAATAAACATCTTTTTTTGTTTTTTACTTATTTTTCTATTCTAACTTTATACTGTTCCACAGTATTTCTATAAACATAATTTAACTTTTATTTGAACTTTTTATACATATAATCATATTTTAAATTATTTTTTGCTTTGTCTGTTACTCTTCTGTATTCTTTCTGCAATTCATTCATTTTCCTGCTGCACAATATTGCATTGCATTAATGTGTTTGTGTGTGCTCAATTACATTTTCTGTGAATGCATATTCTCTCTATATGACATATAGACACATACATATATGTATATATATATAAAAGACATAAAGGATATAGAAACATATATATGAAGATACACATATATGCCATTTTATTTTTGAAGAATATATGGATTGCTCTTAATTTGGAAGCATTATGAAAAACAATTCTATTAACATTCACATATTCACTTAAAAATGTAAAAAAATCGGGGCTGGGAAGATGGCTCAGTGGTAGAGTGCTTGCCTTGCATGCATGAGGCCCTGGGTTCAATTCCTCAGCACCACAGAAGCAGAAAAAGCTGGAAGTGGCACTGTGGCTTAAGTGGTAGAGAGCTAGCCTTGAAATGAAGAGCTCAGGGACAGCGCCCAAGCCCAGAGTTCAGGCCCCACAACATACAAAAAAAAAAAAAAATCTTAAGAATTTATGGACAACGGACAATATTCATTTCCCATTTCCCCTTTTGGCTCTAAATTTACCTGTCAAAAGCTCCAGGATAACGGCCAAACTGTAGCTTTCGAAAAGGAACAAACTTCCTGTCGATGTGCCCCTTGAGTCGTAGATGGCCATGCCAAAGGTAGTTGCCACTCCTCTCATGGAAGACCACCAAGTGGATGGCATGAGTGGACAACCTGCAGACATAGTGCAGGGGGACTTCAGTTCCAGACAGCGAGTCTATCCCATCTAGCCGGGGATCTTTGCTCTCAATCTTTATGCACTGAAACCCCATGTTCTCAGCTATGCGAAACCAGCCTTCCTAGAATCAAATACACATCAAGTCTGAATGGGTACAAACTTTGAAAAAGTGAAATATTTTTACATTTTGAACTGGTTTAATTCCTACTGCTTTGTAGGAGACACATTCCATGATCTAGAAGCAACAGACCTACCTCATTCTTCCATAGATGATACTGCAATGCAAATGCAGTGAAGTCTCTTGCAACACAGAAAAACTTGCATTCCGAAGCAGAGCCAAGAGAAGTATTATTCACTTGTTTATAGTTCTTATTAATTAGTTCCAGAATCAAAGGATCAATAAGGAACACTGGTACACTTTGGCTAGATGTTAGCATAATAAACTTTTTAACTGCACGCTGTTTGAAAGGAAGAAAACATACTTAATGCCAATAAATCAATACAACTACATTTGTTAAATTTTTTTCATTAACTTTATAAACCTATACACAGTTTACATAAGAGATACCTTGCTTCTGTATTAGGAAGAAAGCAAATAATATAGTTCCTGCCTTCAAGAAGTGTGAAATATGCTAAAATAAAAGTAATATTACAGTAAGCTACTAATTAATACCTAAAAAAAAATCTTCACTGAGAAATGGCATTTGAGATGAAATGTTCCAGCTTACCAATTACTCTGATGGTTTTAGCTAAATGTTTTCAAGACAAAGTGAATGAATAACTGTCAGACTTCTCAACTTTCAAAAAATCAGTAATGTCAACCTTTCAAGACTGAAATGTATATGCTACTTTTCTTCATAGTCGTAATGCTGCTTAACACTTTCTAAGCAAAAGATTTAGACCAAACTATATTGTTCGATCATTCCTAAATAATATGCAGTTTATTATCTCTTAGTAGGAGAGACACCTATGTTAATACTGATTAGAATTGCCTCACACCAAAAAAAAATTCAATAACTTAGATGAAATGGATGTATTTCTTTAAAAATCGAACTTACCTGTGAAATTCCGGAAATTATGTAATCACTTAATCACAATAAAAAAAAAAAAAGAACCTTGGGGAAGGGAGGGAGGGGGGGATGGTAGGGGGAAAACAATGGAGGGGGTAACAATGTTCAAGAGGAAGTATACTCATTACCTCACTCATGTAACTGTAACCCTCTGTATAGTATCTTTACAATAAAAAAAATAAAAATCGAACTTACCAAAACTACAAGTTTTGATAAGAAATGTACTCATTATCTTGCCCATGTAATTGTAACCCCTCTGTACAGTATTTTCACAATAAAAAACAAAACCACAAGTTGACAGGAAATTGAAATATCCTATACTATTAAAGAAACAGAATTGGTTTAAAAAAAAAAGGCCACAGTCAAGTTCGAGACAGCCTAAGTACAGCGACTCAAAATATTTTTTAAAAAGCTTAAATCAGATGAGATACAATAAAATAGCCTCAATCACAGAAAAACATGCATTCCATATCCCACTTGTTGGTTGAGATGCAGTCTAACTTTTTGCCCACCCTGTCTTCTTGATCTCTGCCTCCTGAATGTCTGGGATTATAAGCATGTAAACTACATCCACAAAAACTTTGTTTTTAAATCCAACTGGTATAAACAATAGTTTAGAATAACCACTCCTAGAAGTTCAAAGCCAGCCCAGGCAGGAAAAGTTCAGGAGACTCGACTCTTATTTCCAATAAACCACTCAGAAAACCGAAGTGGTGTTGTGGCTCAAGTGGTAGAGTGCTAGCTTTGAGCTGAAGAGGTGAGGGACAGCACCTAGGCCCAGAGTTCAAGCCCCACAACCAATAAAAAAACAAAACAAAAAAACCCCCAAAAGTAACCACTCCTTGGTGACCTAAAAATGGTAATCTAAAGCTTTCTACATTTCTGGTTATAAAGTAGCCAAAAATTAAAATGTATTCATAAGAAATAACTAGTCATTTTCTTTAATACATACTAACAGAATAAATGTAATTTTTATATAGTAACTCATTCTAAATTTAGTTATAAAAAGGTAATATAGCCAGGTGCTGGTGGCTCACGCCTGTAATCCTAGCTACTCAGGAGGCTAAGATCTGAGAATCACTATTCAAAGCCAGCCCAGGTAGGAAAGTCCCTGAGACTCTTATCTCCAATTAACCACCAGAAAATCCAAAGTAGCCCCATAGGGCTCAAGTGGTAGAACTAGCCTTAAGCTGAAGAGCTCAGGGACAGGGCACAGGCCCAGTTCAAGCCCCATGACTGGCAAAAAAAAAAAAAAAAGTAATATATTTTATAAATGTGCAGGCTTTGATATTTGTGAAACAAAATTAGGATACGATATACATGTTATATTAATGGTTATAAAGATACTATGGTAAATATATATATATATATATTTTTCCCCCTGATTGCTGATTTTCTCTTATATTCAGTTCCATTTCAATTCAGATTTATTCATTTGGAAAACATCATAGCTCAGTGAATAAGAGTTCCAGAAACAGACTGTCAGAATCTGGGCTCAGTTACTTACTAGCTAACTATCTTTAATTCTGCTAAGCAAGTTGAGAATAACAATATATAGTGACTTCTAAGGTTACTATAAGTACTAAATGAGACACTGAACCTATGGACCTTCCTCCTCCTCTGCTCTATCTACCTCATCTCCAATACAGCCATTGCCATTGCCTTAATTCCACAAATACTTAAAAGCATATAAACATATATGAGCATACAAACATAAAAATGTACATTATAAATTGAAATTTCTTGTTTACTGCACATACCCACTGTGTGCTATCAAATCCAATTCTGCTTCCTTTGGATTTTGATAAACCAGCTCCATTCTATGAAGATTAAAATTTTTTTTAGTAAATTCAAAGCACAGCATGCAACACAGTATTTAGGGTGAATATGAAAGGAAAATTACAAAATTAGCTCATAGTCACTAAAAAACATTGTTTAAATTCTTATTTGCACACAGATAATAACTCTAAAATTTTTGTAATACAAAATACAACAACCCAAGATGTAAAACAATGATGGAAAGCAGTAAGTTACTTATTAAACAGTAATATTCATATAGTCAATATCTATTAATGTACACCAATGAATGGCAAACTCTCCTTTCTCTCTCTGAAATTAAGTCTGTCCATTTAGTTCCATATTTCTAACCTACATTTATTTTCACATTCTGAATTAGTGTTTATAGATCTTGGCTAAATGGTAAGAAAGTAAAATAATATCTATTGAGCAGCTCCCAAGTGGTAGGTACAGTGTTAAACGTGTCCACATATGAACTACAGCATAATTCTGAAAAACAGGCATTAGTATTTGTACTACCTGTACCTGTACTTTTCCCAATGTGTACCATAATTTCAAATGCTAAGAAGTTTTGTTTTGCACTACTGGTAGGGCTTGAACTTGGGGCATGAACACTGTCCCTGAACTGTTTTGCTCAAGGCTAGTGTTCTACCACTTGAACCAGAGCCACATCAGCATTTTAGTGGTTAATTGGAGGCAAGAGTTACACTAACTTTCCTGCCCAGGGTTGGCAAAGGAGAAATATGCTAAGAAAATAACTAAATGAAGTCTCATAATAAGGAAAATTACCTTTGCTGACAAATAGTGCTTGTAGTAGTACAACTGAAACAACAGAAATGCAGAACTTGTCAGTGTTAACAGGGCCAAAATCACGTTCTTGTTGATTCTACTCATGGGGTGTTGACTTGGTTATCTTCTAAAAGAAACCTGGTTGTTTTCATCTTTTTGGATTTAAAAAAAAATGTTTTCTGTGAACACAGATACTTCTGGAAAGGAAGAAAAAAGGCTTCTTAAATTCTAATGTACAATAGCGCAAATAAAAAGTGATCTAAAGTTTTTCAGAATATTCCTATGAAGATTGAGAGATGATTTTCTCCAAAGTTTGATTCAGCACACTTGGTGGGGGGAACCTCTAAAGGTGCCTGTCTGACAAGTTCATAGGTGACACTCCTGACTATGCTGAGAACAATTTCCACAAAAGAAACTTCACAAGTTTTTGGCCTAGGAACATGACAGCTCTTTGTTTTTTGAGGTGTGGGTGTGATATCTAAATAGTGGTCAGTTTTTATAAATACCCTTATATATGTTCAAGTGTAAAGAACGCCATGATAAACATTGATTTTTTAATCTTAGGTCCTATCTGATTATTTGTTGAGAATAAGAAACAATATAGGAATACTTCTTTTCTCTAGTATTTGATTTTGGTTAAATATATTAAGTCTTCTAGGATCTACCTTTCTATCTTTGTACTAGAACCTTTACTATTTCATGTCCAAGCTTTGAGTATCTTTTGTTCTCTAGCTATAAAATACCAGCAAACTTATAACACCTTTTGCCTTCCCTCCCCTTTTAGTTCTTTTTCTAGTTATTTCTACTTTTATCTATTCTACCCCATAACTATGAATCTGGTACTTTGTTATGTTCCCTACAAATTCTATCGCTAATCTCGTCTCATTTTTGGAAGACTGATTTTCATCTTACTGCAGTTTATCAAAAAGAACTTACCTTGAGTTTCTGCATTATTCAAAAAGTTGTTTACTGACAGTTGGATTCTGAGGTCACAGTTTATTTCCCCTAACAACTTATAGGTTTGTAATGATAAGTATCCCTTGATATATAGCTGATTCCCCACTGATGGATGACTTTAAGGTACCAGCAGCTGAACATACATACATTCCTTCCCTTTGGAAATTCAGTTGTTAAATTACATTATGTAATGTTATCAATCACTGCATATTAGTTTCTTCCTTAGTCGTTGTGTGTTCTTTCAAACTGGAGAATAAAGATTTCTTGCTTGCGAGCAAAGTTTCCTTCCTAGTTATGTCTGACTGCTTTTCTAACGGTGAAGTCTCTAGAACTTGTTTCTAGAACTACAATTCAACAGTCTCCTTCCCCTTCATTTTTACTTTCAAAAGTCTGTCCGTTGGGTAGGGAGGAGTTGGGGGGCCGTGCTTGTGCACCCATTCCAGTATTGAAGCTTAAACTCGGGAGGATATTGAGTTTTTCCACTGAAGGTTAGTGCCTACCACTTGAGCCACAGCCACACTTCCATCTTTTAACTGGTTAATTGTAGATAAGAGTGTACAGATTTTCCTGTGAGAGCGGGCTTTTGAACTGTGATCCTCAGGTCTCAGCTTCCTGAGAACTAGGATTACAGGTGTGAGCCGAAGGAGTCTAACTCATGATTTCTTAAACTGAGTTTTCTTTTTAAAAAAATCAAATTCATGCTTTATTTGATGCATTTCCAACAAGGTGGCAAGAACCCACTTTTTACATAGACACTGGGGAATCGAGGAGGAAAAAATATAACACCTGTTACATGACTCCTGGAAAACACGAACTCAAGTTTATAGGAGTCTAAAGGTCCAGCTCAAAAGTACTGTTTGGCACGGCTTGTCTACAAAACAAAGGTCTTCAGGATAGAATTCATTCACGCAAACCGATGTAGGCTGGGTAAAGTGAGTTTAACTGAGGAAATTCTGGTGCATGTAGAGAATAAATAAAACCCCGAGCACAGACTGCGGTTTGTGTTTGCCTCTGAAAGCGATAGGAGAGGTTCCAGTTTGCCTCGGAGCGACAGGAGAGGGGAGGGGGAGGGGAGAGGGA